ATAAACACAGAGACATGATATTAAACACAGAGACATGATAATTAAACACAGAGACATGTTTTTTATGATGCAAATACAGAATACTATAAAATATTTCTTGCAGAATTCTTATTTTTATGTTTATCTATTTCAATTTAAAAGTCAGAACAACCTAGAGGGTGTAAACAGGAGTAATATTATAAATTCTATATTTTTATTATTTCAGTTTTGGAAAGAGCTCAGTATGCAAGTGATGATCCGTTTTTTAAACATAAATGTCGTTTTTGTCATAAAGTATTTGGAAGTGACAGTGCTCTACAGATTCATGTTAGATCTCATACAGGTAAGACAACTTTCTTCATGGTGTTTTGGGGGGTGGGGATAGAAAGGGGCAACAACTCTTATTGCAACTCTAGTCATATAAGATAGAATAAACTTTACACAACTACTAACAAAGTTTCCACCTACAAATTACCACAAGAAAGTTATAAAGTTGGTTCAACATCATTTACTAATTAAAAAACTTTGAAAATAAAAAGTTATTTTGTAGTTGATATAAATATTACTAACTTGTAGAAATAGACATTATATTCTGACTGAATTGGGTGGATTTATTTAAATACAGTCTGTGATAATCCTCTACCGTAGTTACCATAATAATACTGATAATCTTCTCAGGTTAGACGTAGTGAAACATAATTTACTTCTATAGACCAGCTTAGATACAGGGTTACAATAAAATAGGTAGAGTGGTTAAAACATATATTGAAACCACTTAATAAACTGTGTTTGTGAGGCACTAACTTTCCAATGGTAGGCACTAACTTTCCAATGGTAGGCACCAACTTTCCAATGGTAGGCACTAACTTTCCAATGGTAGACACCAACTTTCCAATGGTAGTCACCAACTTTCCAATGGTAGGCACTAACTTTCCAATGGTAGGCACTAACTTTCCAATGGTAGGCACTGGCTCATGGTTAAAGTAAAATTGAAATAGCTAGCGTTTATTAGACTAACTAAGGTATATCATAACAACTATAGAGTTAATATGATAATCATAGCGCCATTGGTTCAAATCCTCTCCACTATGAGTTTATTAGATTAACTAAGGTATACGATAACAACTATAGGGTTAATATGATAATCATAGCGCCATGGGTTCAAATCCTCTCCACTATGAGTTTATTAGATTAACTAAGGTATATGATAACAACTATAGGGTTAATATGATAATCATAGCGCCATGGGTTCAAATCCTCTCCACTATGAGTTTATTAGATTAACTAAGGTATATGATAACAACTATAGGGTTAATATGATAATCAGGGTGGATAATATATTTATACATTGTATCACAACTATATATCTCACTACTATATTTGGTCAATATAAATACTTTACTATTATTAACTTCAATATACCGTTACTTGTTTGTTTTCTTCATAAATGAATTCGCGTGGATTTTGAACAATGAAAAATAAACGCTGAAATTTGGAACGCGTGGTGACGACCAATTAAACGCATTGATACATGTTTAAGGGGTGAGGCGTGGGCCAATCGTATTGACACTACTATATTTATAACGAGTATCCCTTTTTAATAATCTGACCTAGAGGTCACTCCGCATCTTTTAAGATGTATGAAATTAAGGCGTTTGTGTTTCTATAGAAACAGTGTATTGTTGATATACTCAGAGTGGCAATTAGACATGACTGAATCATTATAAATATTATTTACCAACAATACATATACAAGTTTTTCTCTGAAGGTATTTTTTTGACAGATTTGTTCAATAACAGGTGAAAGAGGGGGAAAGTTGTTCGTTTAAATACTTCGTACCAGTTAGTTTTAGTTCTTGTCTTGCTTCAAACGAGAAGTAAATAGTAAGGTATCCTGGTTTGTCCTTGGTAAGGCAGAAATAGCCTGTCTTGTACTGATATTGAAGGGTGGTCCATGGTAAGATTATATATTAAAGAGTTGTCTTTGTAAATGGTAAGATTGAAATAGCCTGTCTTGTACTGATATTGAAGGGTGGTCCATGGTATGATTAAATATTAAAGAGTTGTATTTGTAAATGGTAAGGTTGAAATAGCCTGTCTTGTACTGATATTGAAGGGTGGTCCATGGTAAGATTATATATTAAAGAGTTGTATTTGTAAATGGTAAGGTTGAAATAGCCTGTCTTGTACTGATATTGAAGGGTGGTCCATGGTATGATTAAATATTAAAGAGTTGTATTTGTAAATGGTAAGGTTGAAATAGCCTGTCTTGTACTGATATTGAAGGGTGGTCCATGGTAAGATTATATATTAAAGAGTTGTCTTTGTAAATGGTAAGGTTGAAATAGCCTGTCTTGTACTGATATTGAAGGGTGATTAAATATGATTATGGTATGATTAAATATTAAAGAGTTGTATTTGTAAATGGTAAGGTTGAAATAGCCTGTCTTGTACTTCTTGTTAAAAGGGTGGTCTATAAAGGGCTATACTCTGAAAGTATGAAACTGTAATATAAAGGAGTTTAAAGGACATTAGCCTGCTGTTTTATACTGAAATCAATGTTTGATGTTTTCACTAAAATAAGTAGGCTAATAGAATTGGTGAAATGTTTTTAATTTTTAGTATGATTCTCAGGTTTTACTGTTAACAATACTAAGAGTTTCTCTAAAAGAATGAACCATATTGACAGACCACACTCCCAGAATTCACAGATATTTTTTCTCACTTTCTTAATCAAATAATAAAAACAATTTTTGATTTCAAATTTCTGTTTTTTATCAAATTATTTCATCAACTTCCTGTCCGTCTTTTCAAGTTTCTGGCGAACAATTGTAAAACAGGAGTCGCCAGACTATATAT